TTCCAGAAGGAAGCTTGGTAAAGAAAATTGACTTTGGAATTAAAAACACAAGAGTAAAAGCTCGATATTTTGGAGGAACAAGAGAAGGGAGCTGAGACATGAACCTTTTAAGAGCCCCACCATTAGGGAATATGAGGAATACAGTGAATATGGAACATATATGGAAGAGATTAAAACTGATTATGTAGCATCACTCGCTGAGATGTCTTGTTCCAGGTCCATGACGCTGAATTTAGGAATTTACATGGCTAGGCTTTACTAAACTATTGAGTCTGAGGATGAGAACTAAGGATTTTTAAGAAATGCTTGATTGTATCATATGTAGTACTCTTGCAGTCATGATAAATGTTTCATGACTTGGAGACTGAAGAGATGGACCTGTCTCAGACTGTGGGTGGAACACTACTGCTTCCTCAGGGTCTGAGCCATTGCGACCATCTCTAGTAGAGTCATCCATAATGGTGCGTCTCTTCCTGAGAAACTTGGGGCCTGGAGTTCACACCTCTTTCTGCCTTGGGTAATGTTGCCGACTGCCACATTTTTGCTGCAGTGATATCTTCCATAACACTTATATTCCATTTAACGAGCAGTGTCTGCACCTGGGGTTTCTGTCAGTCTGACTTTGACTAATACTATTTGTGACTGATACAAAGAAATAAAGAGGTAGGGGAAAGTGCAGGATGGTTTAATATGACAGGAACCAAATAAGAACATTCCAGGGGAGATGACCCACTGCTGAAGTCAAAAGCAATGAAAACTAAAAGTTCTTCAAAGGTGATGTTGGGTGGCATCAGGAAAGGAAATTTTAGTTTTGATTTTTGGGTGTGATGTGGATAGTGATTAGAGACAATATTAACTACACTGAATTATTTATTATATGATTATCATTATTTGATGATAGCTCAATAAAGCTCTCTGCTGACTATGGAAGTAATTTATTCAGAAACCTTAGGAATATAGAAATTACTCATTGATCTCATGATTTTATAAAATAAACCTAGAGTCTCATAGCCCTGATTTATATCCTAAAACTAGTTTTGCCACTCACCAGCTATGTTGCCTCCTAGAAAATTACTTCTATTTCTGAGTCTTTTTGTCATTACTGGTAGAATGGAAAGAATCATGCTTGTTTGAAAGTGGACTTTTCCAACCTTATATTCCTTGTGAACTTCTATTATGCTTCTGCGTGGTTTCTTGAACACCATTAAGTATTTAGAAAATTCAAAAATAGGAATGGATGTATGTTCGATCAGTAGTTAAATCTTATATATCATGAAGTTAATTTAAGTATAATTATGAGTATTAAAGGTAAATTTATATATTTTTGATATGACATATGATACATGCAGTTACTTTAAATTAGATTTTTGAAGGCTGAAATGACAGGTCATTTATTATTAAAATGTAAATTATAATTTTGTTTTTACTTATAGCATCAAAATACTTTTGCAATCTGATGCTTACATCTTGTGCATACCAAATGAACAGTTAAAAAATTATTCTAGTGTGTTTTTCTGTGTGACAAGACAGAAAATTGAGACTGCTATTTTGTACTCGTCTGCAAATTGCAAGCATGGAGAAACTTTATTCTCATTAAGTGAAAAGCCACATGGATGGAGTACCCACCATATATTTCTTTTCAAAATATTTTTTTAGGTGTTAGAGATACCTTTTATATACCGTTAATGACTTCTGAGCAGAACAGTGTATCCTAAATTATGGTGAAGTTGAGCTTATGACAAATTTGTACGATGTTTATTGTTATTTACTTACTTATTTGTTTTTCATTTTTTATTGAGTTTATGGGGGTGTCATTGATTCAAAAAACCATACAAGTTTCAAGTGTACAACTCATAAAACATCAATAGAAGGTGAAGGGACTGAAAAAACAAAAACATTATTTATTGTTTTTATGCTTCTCTTTGTTATATTTCAACATAAATGTTGCATAAGCTTTTGTCTTTAATAATTGGCTCTTTATGGTATAAGTTAGCTAATAGTACTTACTTGAAACACACTTAGAAACTACCTAAAAGTGAAAAGTTCTGCAGTGAGTAGCAGGGTTCTAGTGAGAAATGAATCAACTGAGTGGCAGAGTCACAAGTTCACTTGTCAGATCTCAACAACATAGTGCATGCTCCTTCGATATACCCTATAGGATTTTTCAATTTCCACTTTAAAGTGGAAAGTTACTCATATAATTGTTTCATTAATTAATTATTATGCAAATAAAACACAAAACAGACATATTCATTTTTAAGTGTATTTTATTGATTATGCTGTTACAGTTGTCCCATTTTTCCCCCCATTACCCCTCTGCTTGGTTCCCCATTTCCCTCCAGCAATCTCCCCTTTAGTTCATGTCCATGGGTCATGCATGTAAGTTCTCTGGCTTCTCCATTTCCTACACTGTTCTTATTCCCCTGTCTATTCTGTACTTACCCAATTATTCTTCTAAATCCCTATACCTTTTCTCCCATTCTCCCTCTTCTCCCTCCCAGCTGATAACCCTCCATGTGATCTCCGTATCTATGATTCATATTCCTGTTCTAGTTGTTTGCTTAGTTTTTTTGTTTGTTTTTTTGATTCACTTGTTGATAGTTGTGAATTTGTTGCCATGTAATGTTCATAGTTTTGATATTCTTTTTCCTAAATAAGTTCCTTTAATGTTTCATATAATAAGGGCTTTGTGATGATGAGCTCCTTTAACTTTGCCTTGTCTGGGGAGCTCTTTATCTACCCTTCAATTCTGAATGACAGTTTTGCTGAATAGAGTAATCTTGGATATAGGTCACTGCTTCTCATCACTTGGAATACTTCTTGCCAGTCCCTTGCAGCCTACAAAGTTTTTTTTGAGAAATCAGCTTGCAGTCTTATGGGAACTTCTTTGTAAGAACTCTCTGCTTTTCCCTTGATGCTTTTAAGATTCTCTCTTTATCTTTAATCTTTGACATTTTAATTATGATGTGTCTTGGTGTGGACCTCTTTGGGTTCAACTTGTTGGGGACTCTCTGTGCTTCCTGGACTTGTATGAAAACAGACATATTCATTTTAACAATATAACCCCCTTTGAACTCCTTTGGGCATCTGTGGAATTAATAAATCTATGTTATTGGATTGTTACAGATTATCACAATGCTGGCATATATTAAGCATGCTAATTATTAATTATTATTCCTTAATAAATATTAATATTTGAATCTCACTGCATTTCATTATAATTACTTATTGTGTCAACTACACATAAGGCATATACAGCTTCTCTATGTAAAGGCTTCTCTGTATAATTCTATATACTGAGTAATATTGAGTACTATACCAGAGACTTCTGGTTGAAAATGGTGGATTGAGTACAGATGTTTATGTATATTAACTCATTAACCTTCACGTTATCTCTATGAGAGAAGTACTATGATTATTCCATCTTGTAGGTGAAAATTGGAGTACAGAGAAGTTACTTAATTTGCCAAAGTCAAAAAGCTGGCAAATTGAAGCGCTGAGATGCAAACTCTGGCTCCAGCCCTTGACCATTACGCTAAATCACTTTTCATGCCCTTGAGGCCCTTTATAGGCTTGAAGTTCTAAAAATATATAATGTTAATATTGTTACTGTTTGTATATTGATGTACGTTTATTACACGATAAGTTCCATTATATTATACTTTGGTTATAAATGGAGAAAATGATCTTGTTTCGTTAGGACATATCATGGACATGGTTCTCTTTACCAAATTTATGGGATGATCACTGACTTTAGTTTTTAGTAATTTTCCTTATGATTCCAAAAGTACAGTGTATATATCAAAGAATTGAATAGAGTTTTACTTATTTTCCTGTAGGAAATCCCAAGTTCATCAACAACAAGTTATCAGACAGAAGTGTTACAATAGATGGTAATAGAGGATGCCATGTTGAGGACACTTTCCGAAGATTAAAGGAAAATTAGAAAACAAAGAAAACTTCATAAATTCCATTACTCTGACACAGCTGTTTGTTTGTGTGTTCTATTCTGAGCCCTGTGTCTCTGTGCATTTGTACTCATACACAATTGCAATGACCATTTATCTAACTTATGTTCTCTTTGTTTATTTAATTAGACATTAGACGTTAGTAATACTTTAATGTTAAAAAAATGTTTCAAATGTTTGAAAATCCTAACTTTCTGCAAAGACCTTCTTCATAAATGGCTGTGCGTTTTCTTTAGAAGAGCTCTTTGGGTTCTTAAGGGAGCTTTTTAAGCATCTTCTTAACTTATTGTTTTATTTATACTATTTTTCCATTTGGGATTTCTAGTTTTTCAAGGATAGAGCATTTACTTGGGATATGAAGCGGTTCTATAGCTTTAATTATAGTAGTGAAAACAGAGGAACTGAGCACAGTGAGAAGGGAATACCTGCAGCCGTAGTGGTATATTTAATGAATCCAGGTTGCCTTCAGGAGTTAATCGGAATGTAGAGGGAGAGGGGACACAGGGACTTACAGATGACAATGTGAAGAATGCAGCAGAGTTTGCCTTGTGTTGCTGTGGCTTGGGGTCGCAGTTGGTAGTGAAATTTTTACTTTAAGTTGACCAAGTCCAGGGAATTTGTGCCTTATATCAAATTCTATACTATTTGGTGTGTGCTGAGAAATCTTATGCTGAGGGTATCATATGATTGACTCTCAAAATGGAGAAATTAGTCTATTCATGTGGATTTTTGAAAGTAAAAATCCACTTAAAACATCACCCCCACCTTCTTTTGCTTTTGTCACTTCCACTGTATTTTTTTCTATTGTATTTTTTCCAGATGTTTTAATATTTTTTCCAGTGTCACCATTTTGCTCATTAGGATTGTTAATGACATACCTTTCTGAATAAACATAATTAAAACTAGGGAAGTTATCAAGATGCAGGAAGTGTTTCTAAAACGCATTATGTGAATGAAGATGCATTGGTGGACACATTTCTCTCTAAGACATCCTTCACTCTGGAGAACTTCAGTTGAGATTAACACTGCTTTGGGCTCACCTCAACAGCACATAGATTAAAATGGAATAATATAGAGTGGATTAGCATGGCCCCTGTGCAAGGATGACACGCAAATTCGTGAAACATTCCACATTTTTTTTTAAAAGAAATGAACACTGCTTTATTTTCTAATGGCCGTCATCTTGGGAAATGCCCACCAAATACATCTATTTGATACCAGTTTAGTGTTTGTGCTATTACTATTTTAATCATTTTTATATTGATGACAAATACTTTAACTGCTGTCAGAGTCTCACAGAGGTAGAAAATTGCAGGAAAAGTTACAGAAAACTTGAAAATTATTCAGCACAAATGTACTGCTAGAGCCACACACAGATCCTCATTTGCATGGTAATAAGATTTACTTAATTAATCCTCTTCCTCTGCATGTCATAAAAGGTTAAAGTTATATTTTGAATTGCATTCTGAGAGAAAAGATCACATGTCTTTCCAAAAAAAGTGATTTTAGAAATAGACCTGCACAAATCTACTCACGCCCTGACTGATGAGGCTCAGCGGGGTGGGCATCGTCCCACCAACTGGAAGTTGCTGGTTCTGTTCCTGGTTGGAGCGCATGCCAGGGTTGTGGGCCAGGTCCTCAGTCGGAGGTGTGTGAGAAACAACTGATTGATGATTCTCTTCCTCTCTGTCCCCCTCCCTTCTCCTCTCTCTAAAAATAAATAAAGTTTTGAAATATATATTCATAATGAAGATGAATATTATACTTAGAAAAATGTCCTTACTACCCAAAGCAGTTTACAGATTCAATGCAATACCTATTAAAGTACCAATGGCATATTTCACAGACATAAAATAAACACTTCAAAAATTTATATGGAACCATAAATGACCCTGAATAGCAGCTGCACTCTTGAGGAAGAAGAACAAAGTAGGAGGAATCACAATACCTGATATCAAATTGTATTACAAAGCCTGGTCCTGGCATAAAAACAGGCACATAGACCAGTGGAACAGAACAGAGAGCCCAGAAATCAACCCAACTCTCTACAGTCAATTAATATTCGAAAAAGGGGGCAGTAACATAAAATGGAGTAAAGATAGCTTCTTCAACAAATGGTGTTGGGAGAACTGGACAGCTACATGCAAAAAAATGAAACTTGAGCACCGACTTACACCATACACCAAAATGAATTCAAGGTGGATAAAAGACTTAAATATAAGCCTTGAAACCATTAAAGTCCCTGAGGACAATATTGGCAGGAAAATCTCAGATATTTCACACAGCAGCATATTTACTGATATGTCCCCTAGAGCAAGGAATATAAAGAAAAGAATAAACAAATGGGATCTCATCAAAATAAAAAGCTTCTGCCTGGCTAAAGAAAGCAGTATTAAATTAGCAAGACAACCAACTGTATGGGAAAACATATTTGCCAATGATACCACAGACAAAGGTTTAATCTCCAAAATATACAAAGAACTTACACGACTCCACTCTAAGACAACCAACCCAGTTAAAAAATGGGCAAAGGACTTGAACAGACACTTCATCAAGGAGGACACACAGAGAATCCAGAGACACATGAAGAGATGCTCAATATCGCTAGCTATCAGAGAGATGCAAATTAAAACCATAATGAGATACCACTTTACACCAGTCAGGATGGCTATCATAAACAAAGCAACAAACAACAAATGTTGGAGAGGTTGTGGGGAAAAGGGGTCCTTAGTTCACTGCTGGTGGGATTGCAGACTGGTACAACCATTATGGAAAACAGTATGGAATTTTCTCAGAAAAATAAAAATTGACCTGCCTTTTGAACCAGCAATTCCACTGCTAGGATTATATCCTAAGAATCCTAAAACATCAATATCAAAGAAACTATGCACCACAATGTTCATAGCAGCACAATTTACAATAGCCAAGAGTTGGAAGCAACCTAGGTGCCCATCAGTAAAGGGATGGATCAAAAAAATTGTGGTACATATACACAATGGAATTCTATGCAGCAGAGAGAAAGGAGGAGCTCCTACCCTTTGCAACAACATGGTTGGAACTAGAAAGCATTATGCTGAGTGAAGTAGGCCAGGTGTTGAAAAACAAATACCACATAATCTTACCTTTAACAGGAAGCTAAACAACAAAACAAACAAGCAAGCAGAGTAAAAACCAAGACACTGAAATAGAGAACAAGGGGACAGTGACCAGAGGGGCGAGGGAATGGAATTTAAGGGGAAAAAGGGGGAGGGATTTGGAGGAACAACTATGAAGGACACAAGGACAAGAACTAAGGGAGGTGGAAATGGGAGAGAAGTGGGGAGCACGAGGTGGGGTGGGCTGGGATGGGAGAAATAGACAGAAAACTGTACTTGAAAAATAACTAAATAAAAATTTTTCAAAAACTACCAAAAAACCCCCACTTTATAAAGAATGAATGCCTATAGTAAGTTATGTAATACCTAATCACTGTGGTATACACCTGAAACTAATATAATAATGTGTCTCAACTGTAATTGAAAGTGAAAAAAATGATAAATGAAGTGAAACAAAAAAATGAGTGACTAGATTAGTGGTAAATTGCATATACATTATAGTTCACGAAATGTACCCATAGGGCCTAAGAGGTGTCCTGTTACTGTAGGCTTCCAGTAACAAGACCCTCTGTAGAGAGATTTTGACAAATCACCACTTATTATAATTAAGTACCTGCTCAGAAGAGGTTGTTTAAATCAGATACTATCTGAACAATGAAGGCAGAGTTTCTACCAGCAAGGCTGTAAATGAAGGGAAGCACTTACAGGAAGCCGATACGTTATCCTGAGGTCAAAGATTTGTTAGCAAGGCTTGGCCAGTTTGGATGAAGGAAGACACTGATAGCTATTGCCTGGAAAAGTTCAAGGATGTGAAGATATGCTTGAAAATAGGTCCTAATATCTCATTGAAAAAAGAAAAAGCAGTTTGAGGATAAGAACTTAAACACTGATGCATTTTAATGTATATTTTTCAGGGGTGTTTTTTTTTGCCAATTTAGTAAACAGCAAAATACTTAGACTTTATTATGCAGCCTCCATAACACAGATCTTGTCATATTGCCCCCTCCATCAATTGACAAAAATCTCATTTTTTAAAAAGATTTTATTTATCTTTAGAGGGGAAGGGAAGGAGAGGGGGAGGTAGGGAGAGAAATATCAATGTATGGTTGCCTCTCACGGGTTCCCTGCTGGGACCTGACCTGCAACCCAGGCATGTGCCCTGACTGGGAACCTAACTGCAGTTATTTGGTTTGCAGGTCCACACTCAATCCACTGAGCTACAACAGCCAGGGTGACAAAATCTCATTTTTAATGCACTCAGTTTGTTTTAACATTTTTCTCTCCTACACCAGCCTGCAAATCTATGGTTTATCTTCTAAACAATCAAATCTATAATAAAACACATAAATTCTCATCACAATTTGTAGAGCCTTGGGCTTCTGACATTTAAAAATCAATTTTTAGATTTGCTCAAATATCTATTTAGAAAATATACACACTGCTCAATATTTAAAACTTGAACTTGATCAATTACTTTCTTCAATTAGAAAAATATAGGGAAGAAATGAGCTCAACATAAATTGATAGGCTTCAAGAAAATTTTTTTCTGCCTGCCATATAATTTCTGGCTCCTCTAATTTTGAGATAAAAACTTCATAAATTCACCATTTTTGTGACTTTATTGCTTCATTAAAAGTAAACATGTTTCTCTGGAAAAATGCCAGTACATGTTAGACACTTTGGAAATGCAAACATATGTTAGATACAGCCTCTGGCTCAAAGAAACTTAAATTCTCAGTACAAGTAATGACATATATCCAAATAAATATTTGTGGCCATGTTTGTTAGTTCAAAGATTCTATTTCCAAGTAGCTGTAGTCTTTTGGGGATGACCTGGTTATAATAGAGACTGGGGTAGTTAATGCTTCTTTGAGTATTTCTGTAAATATTTTTAAAAAACAACCCTTTCCATAGTGGGTACCTCTGACAAAGAGGATAAGTTTCATTACATGCATTTTTTTAAAAAATCACATTCATATATTACCTTTTAAAAGAAAAATTATCTTAAGTAAAAGGGAGAAATTGTATCCACGCAGCCTCCATCGCCACTTGAATCAGTGTGGTAGAAAGATCGTGCCAGAGGCATATGATGTCTGCTCGGCCTCTCCCTCTTCGCAGTATCACGGTGTGCTCTCTGCCACCCACTGGCTAGTCGTGCCCAGCCTCCTCAGTTACCGCTCCAGCCAGATCCTGCAGTGTGCTCACAAAGCCTGTGTGTACCACTCACGTTTAGATGTTCTGTGATATTTTCATGATGTCATCTAAACTTCAAGGGAAATTTAGATGCACTCTTTGTCATCTTTAGTTTCTAATTTTCCTCCTTTCTCCTAGTCTATGTATCTGTATTGAGATTGAGGTTTTAGAGGTAATACATCACCCTTGAGACACTCTTTTCATCTTCTTGGAACAAATTCTTACCCCTAGAAAAATAAACCTACGAAACTGTGTGTGGGAGGAAAGTACTAGAACTGGGTCTTGAATAATGGCCATAAAGAACTGGAGAAAATTAGGGGGAGACAGTCCACTTGGAGGAAATAAACAAAGAAAAAGAACATGTTGTATGTGGATAATCACGAGTGGTTTTCTGGAACAGAGAAGGTAAATGTAGGGATATGTGGGCATTAATCTCTCTAGTAGTTATCTAACTGTGCTAATATTTGTTGCTGTTTCATTTTTTTAATTTTTAAGTTTTTAAAATTGTTGACCCTGTTAATGATCTCCCCATTTTCTCCCCCTTTTCCCACCTCCACTGGAAGGCATTTCCTCTGGAAACATTTTCCTCCATTCTTGTATCTGATACCAGGCTTCCTTCTCTCCTTTATCAAACTGTGTACTTTTTGTTGAATTACCCTTTAAACTTAGATGGTTTAGCTTGGTGATTTCTCTACTGCTGTGGCTTGGACGACTACTTCTGTATCAAATATCCCACTTCTGTATCACTAGCCACAGCCTTCTCATTCACACTTCCAAGTCTACGCTGGACCTGCTGACCTGGATGCTTTGCAGGCATCCAGCATTTCTGAAACCCAGCTCAACCTGTCCT